ACCCAGCTAGAGAGCTCTAAAGCTCTTACGCGCCCGTCGCAATTCCAATTGTGCCCAGCGCAATAGAAGGCAGAGATTCCCAGGAGCCTCGCAAGCCCGGCGTACCAAACTCGCGCTCGGCGCAAGTAAGGCAAAGACCTCATCAAGGTCTCACACCCGGTACGCTCATTCTGCGCCCGGCACCACCCCAGGCAGAGACCCCCATGGAGTCTCAACGCTCGGCAAGATCTAATCACGCCCGGCGCCATATCAATAACTCAACTCCTTGAGTCCCTATCTAATATCACGCCCAGCGCGGTTCTCCCACGCCCGGTGTGAGCCATCCAGGGACTTCCATTCCCAAGCTCGCCCGGTGCAACCAGCCTTGCACCTTGCGTGCTTGAACAATGGAGCTCTCTGATAGACACACACCCGGCGCCAAGAACTACGCCGGGCGCAATTACAAACAGCAACTCTCACAACTTCAAAAATTTCACCCAAAACCTGCAAAATCTTCCAGCTCAAACACATGCAATCCATCAAATGAACTACATTTACAGCATACAACTCAAAAATCATCTCTTTTTCAACATGCAACCATCAAACACATAAAGATCCCCATTTTCCCCCATTTTCCCAAAAACCCCGAAAACGAGCAACTCTTCAATTCGACCATCAACCCCCAGAAATCAAGCAACATTTGAGTTTCTAAACTCATTTCCACACAATCTGCACGAAATCTAACTTCCCTTACCTCGGAGAAGAAGAATCTGAACTCCCGGAGAAGAGGAAGAGAAGGAGAGAAAGGAAAGAAGAAGAAGAAGAAGAAGAAGTTTGTGCCCTCAGCTAGCTCCCAGCACCCCTACTCAGCACCTACAACACCAAGAGTTTGAGAATTCTGAGACTAAGGCAAAGAAAGTGGGAAAGAGAGAGTAAGAAGAAATGGTATGTTGAGAGGGAGGGGGAAGAAGGAGGGGAGCGGGTCTCACAATAATAACACTACAAGAAATTCTTAAATTAACTAGAGAAAAACAATAGCTAATTCATACCTAATTTTTAGCAAAAAGAATTGGCTACAAAATTACTATAAAGTCGGTGGTTACATGAAAATAAGTAGTTAATACGTATTTAGTAGGTAGTAACAAATTTATCATATATAAAAAAAAATTACACCATAACAAAAATAAAATAATAATGTAGCAGTTAGCTACAGCGACAAGCTTTAAATAATTAAAAAATAAATAAAGTCACGCTGTGGCCAAAACGACAACATAACATCAGTATAAGAAAAAAATAAAAAAAGAAATCGTGATATATGCACCTCCTTTTTTCTATAATACACCTCTTTTTTTTTAAAAAAAATAATTAAATTTTAAAATATTCTTAATTTTTTTATTTTAAATTTTAAATTTTAAATTTTACATCCATAATATTTAATTTAGTACTTTTTTTTTACATATCTTTCATCTTTTTATTTTTTATTTTTACATGCACCCTCTACCTTTCTTTCACTACACCTATTTTGGTAGCATGTGAAAACTAAAAGAGAAAAAAAAAAGTGTGTGAAAAAGGGTACTTACCAGAGTCAAATCCTTCACCGGCAAAGAGCCTTTCTTATACTAGTTATGGTGGGGCTAGTCCCTTTTTTCTATTCAAAATGACTGTAAAAGTATATTCATATTACTCTTGGTGACATTGAGCGGAAAGAGACTTTGGGAAGAAGAGGGGTGTGGGGTGTGGGGGTGCGGGGAAGGGAGGTGCGGAGAAAAGAGGTGTAAATTTAGAAATTTAATTTTTTTTTTAAAAGGTAATTTAGACATTTTATATATATTTTTTTAAAAAAGGGTGTGTTTATACGAGAGTGGAGGTGTGTTTAACATCTGCCAAAAAGAAATAGTCAAGTTGTGGTCACTAACAAGTATCAACATAGCAAAAAAAAAAAAAAATTGAAAGAAGGGTCCAGTTGTGACTACTAGTAACACGGCAAAAATAAAAGAATAAAATATAAGTTTCGCTATGGCCCAAAAAAAAGAAGAAGAAACAAAAAAGGTTCTTCTGTGACCATTAGCAGCACAATTAAAAAAAAAAAAATACAAGTCTCACTGTGACCCAAAGCCAAAAAAAAAACAAAAAAGTTAAAAAAATATAAATATTTGAGGAGACACGACAACGTGTAATCGATGATAATACTGTATATATGATCGATCACGATAATAACGTTGTAAGTGTTATTACGATAACATTACGAGTACAACTACGATGATGACACTGCATTAGCGATCACGATGACAATGCTGCACTAATTTATTTATTAATATATTTTAAGACTAAAACTAATAATTGAGACACATTTTTTACTGCTTCATGCTACAATGAGTCTCATTTAATTTTCATATATAATAACCTCAGACCGGTCAAACGCTCGTTTGTTGACTTGTATCGCTGATAGCACACACAATTGAGACAACCTGGCACTTGATGAAGTCCCCAAAACCCCCCAAAGAAAAGAAGAAAACAATTATAGAGAAATTTACTATTATTATTATTGTTTTTTTCTTAATTTTCTCTCTTATATCTGATTCTGGATAATTATTATGTTTTTTTAAAAATGGTGGTATATGATGATGTATAATGTATGGTGAACTGGGGCACTGTGTTTCTGGTCTGCGACTGTGCATCATGTGATTCTTCTCTTTTACAATTTCCATGCACAGAGGGCACAGCGGTTTCCCAAAACTTCTAAGCGAAAGACAGCAAAGGAATGAACAACGCCTGGATTGAATTATAGCCGACATTAAAAATAATAAAAATATAAATATGTATTTCATTAATTAAAATTTATTAAAAAATATATAATTATGTTTATCTCAGTAACTTTATATCTTACTTGATGTGTTAAAAAAATATAATAGATAATATATTGTTAACACTCTTCTTATAGACATTTGAGATTTTGTTCAACTTCCAAAAATTACTGTTTAAATTATTAAATTTTAACGAATTAATTGTTGAAATTAAAGTTTTTAATGTATAAATCAAGTTTAATTTTTTTTTTAAAATTTAAAAATTATTTAATATTTCATTTTATTTATTTAGACGGATAATCATAAAAAATAATTTATATATTGATTTGAATTAATAAACGAAGAAGTAAATAGTTTTAAAATTTTTAAAAATTTGTAGACTTGATATATGCATTAATACTACAAGAAAAATGCTAATTTTCGACGGAAACAAGTAAAATCTGTCGAAAATTGAGAATTTTTTATAGATTTTCGACGGATCTAAATTCATTGGAAAAAGTGGCGTAAAAAAAAAATCTGTTAGAAATATCCGTCGGTAATTTTCGACGGATTTTTCCGTCAAAAAATTATCTGTTGAAAATTTTTTGTTTAATAATAGCCCTCATATTTGGCCTCTCAAGGTTCTATTCCACAACATTTCACTTTTTAGCGTGTTTTATCCTTACTTGCACAATTTTTGGGAAACTTCCCATAAGGTCACCCATTCCTTCATTACTCCAGGTCAAGCACGCTTAACTGTAAAGTTCTAATGAGATAAGCTACCGAAATGTATATGCATGTTGTCAGTATAATGTGTACAAATTAATTCATTTAAGTCATCCTCAACTATACAATCTCATACTTGTACTATAATAATAATATATAATAATTTTATATTATGAATAACAATAATATATAATGATTTTATATTATGAATAATAATAATAATAATAATATATTTAATTATTCTTTATTTATATGTACTTACTTTTATAATTAACATCTACTTATTTCTATTTAAAATTATAATTTAAATTATTTAATTTTATAATTTATAATGATAATATAATTTATAAAATTATAAATATTTATTTATTACATACTTATAAATTAAATTTTAACATTTTAAATAAATTATTAATTAATTTAATATATTTATTTACCTTAAATCAAACATATAAAATTCAAAAAATGTATTTATCCTTGTTTTATTTTCTAATTATCAACCATTAATAAAATACTAACTTAAAATATTATCTAATTATATCATAATATTCTCATATCAAATTTAAAACCAGATATTAGTTATACAAAAATATTAAGATCATATAGTAAATTGTCAATAAGATTTTAGTTATATAATTTAAAATAATTAATGTTTTAATTATATTGTTAATTAGAAAATAATTTATTTCAAAGCTAATTAATTTTTTATATATTAATTATTAGTAAAATTTAATAACTTTTAATTTAACAATTGGATCGATGAAATTCAACAAATATCATGAGTTATTAAGCGAAATAACTTTACCATAAGTTATTTGTAAGAAATTTTTGACAAATTTTTTCGTCGAAAATTTTTCGTCGGAAAATTATATTTTCTGACGGATTTATATTCGTCGGAAATTTGTATTTTTCTTGTAGTGTAAAATTTTTAAATTTTACAATTAGATAATTAAAATTTGATGTAAAACATAAGTTATTGAACGAAGTAAGTTTAAGTGGATTTATTCCTACAATAAATATTCCTCATTATATATATATATATATTCCAAATTAACCTAATTTTGTTTGGAATTGAATAATTATTAACCTAATTTTATATAACCTGATTTTGTTTGGAATTGAAAAAAAAATGTAAAATCCAAAGAAATCAAACCCTATTAAAGATTCAAAGATATAGAAACTAATTAGTACGTGGAGATCACTTTAGAATACTGATCACAACTTGTTTAATAGTACCAACAACTTGTTGGATTTAACGGCCTCAAGTGTTTGGCGATTGACATAGACATATGTGGAGATCACCAAGTGTCGGGTGAATGAATAATGGCATGTCTCATGAGCACGCCACTCCTTGTCCTTGGCCTTTTGCAGAAGAAGTTGTAGTGTTGCCTTTCCATTTTTGTCTAACCAATTAAAGCAATTAGAATATATTCTATATATGCAAATGCAATTAATAGTTAAACAGGGCACACATATATAATTAATTTACCTTACCCTCCCTCCCTTTCCTATATAAAAGGAATCTCATGGTGTAGCCCCTCTAACCATATTATATCCAAACCCTCAAATTAATCATCAATTCAAGTCCCACAAATTAAAAAAAATATGTCAAAATCTATGGAACTCCCAGATTGTGTATACCCTAAGCCAGCATTTAGCATTATCCCTCCATGTGCTCCAACACCAAAGCATTCTCTCTACCTATCTAACCTTGACAACCAAAAGTTCCTCAGATTCTCCATCAAGTATGTGTACCTCTTCAAGAAATGTGTGAGCTTGGATGTGTTGAAGTCTTCTCTTTCAAGAGTTTTGGTGGATTACTACCCCTTGGCTGGGAGGTTGAGGAGGAGCAGCAGCATTGTTTGTGAGGATGATGATCACAAGCTTGAGGTGGATTGCAATGGACAAGGTGCTTTCTTTGCTGAGGCTTCCATGGATGCCACTGCTCAAGAGTTACTTGAACTTTGCAAGCTTCCAAATGATTCGTGGAGGAAGCTCTTGTACAAGGTTGAAGCTCAGAGTTTTTTGGATGTTCCTCCTCTTGTAATCCAGGTAATCAAGATCATGTCCATCTCCACATACCAAAAATTATTAGATAGTTCAAAATCATTTCATCCTAACTAATTTTTATCTAACACGTAATCTTACAAGATAGATTCCAACTTACAAAAATATGTAAAGTATCACATTATTATTCTATCACAAATTATCATGTATGATATATTGATATTTAAAAAAAAACAATTAAAAAATTATGCTAACAATAATATTTGATTGATTGAAATTTTCTCAATTATGTCTTGTAGATCATATAATAATTTATTCTGCATGTAACTAAACATTCTATTAAATGCTGTCATTCAATTTTCTTTCTTTCCTTCAGTTTTCCTGTGCCTTATTTTAATTATATAACTTTCTAATTCGTCAATTTATTTATATTGAGATGTTATATTTTAATTAATATGTGATGTTATAAACTATCAAAATATTAAGAATATAATACGAAGCCATATTCATATGTTTTTATGTGCCAAATAGATGAACATGGTATAATCAACAACATTATAATGGAATTTGATACTTGGCGATCACATTGTTTTAATTAACCTTGAATTTGGGGGAGAAGATAGGTAACAATGTAACATAAAAGTTGACAAAGTGCATTTTCTGCATTTTAAAACGAAAAAGCAAAGTGCTAATCCCTCGTTAGTTGATACTTTCAGAAAGCATGGTTAGTGGTGACATCTAGGGACAGGGTGCTTTCAGTCATTGGCCCGGGGTTTCCTTACCCTTTTCCCT